TGTGACTGTCTAACTTCCATGTAAGAAATTCTCTTGACTGGGCCAGGTGTGGTGGCTCACACCTGTAATACCAGCAAATTGTGAGGCTGAGGCAGAAAGATCACCTGAGGTTAGCAGTTTGAGACCAGCCTGGCCAACATGGTGAAACCCTGTCTCTACTAAAAAGACAAAAATTAGCTGGGTGTGGTTGTGCACACCTGTAATCCCAGCTACTTTGGAGGCTGAGACAGGAGGCTGGGAGGTGGAGGTTGCAGTGAGCTGAGATCACACCACTGTACTCCAGCCTGGGCAACAGCGCAAAATTCTGTCTCAAAAAAAAAAAAAAAAAAAAAAAAAAAAGAAATTCTCCTGAAGCTTGTTTTATGATTGAATGTGTAAGCTCATTTTTGAAATATTATTTTTTCAACTCCTTTTTGTTAATAAATAGACAAAACAGAAAAACCCTTGGCTGGTTACATTTTATCTAACACGATCATTTCAGTTCTGTGATCTTCATTATAGAATTGTGTAAAATGAAGTTCATAAATTAATATATAATATTCAAGGTCCATTAATGTATTTTATGCCTGCTGTATCATGTTGCAATACTTTGCATTACTTTCCTAGACTTTTATTCTTGTCTTGAAAGTGAAATGAACATACTTTTTCTCTCCAACCACATTTCTCTTTTTCACATTTTTACGGCACATAAATCAATTAAAAGTGAAGGTTGATATGATACATATGATAATAGGGACATCAGTTGTTCAAGCAACCAAAGGATTAGACATAACCAACATACAAATATATGCATAAATCTACCTAGGATTTAACTCATTTTCCCTAAAAACCATAGGGCAAACTCATTGGGCCAAGAATACAGGCTTTTATACTGGCCAAAATATGTAGTTCATCTTTGTAATCACTAGATGTCAGTGTTGTCTCATTGCAAACACAGAGGTTGTGTGGCTCCAGAGGCGCCCAAGAGGATTTTGTATGACTAACTAATCAACACTGCACTCTTACTAGCTGGCTTCTAAAGCTCGCCAAAGTTCTTTTAGCATCACAGACTGAAAGAGACCTTACTTCTGCACAGGCTGCACAGAATGTATATTATTTTGTTAAGCAAATGAAGAATGAAGGGCAACAAGTTTCAAAGAGCCAAAGGCAATTTTTGCTTAACAATAACAACTATCAAGCCATATTGAATGCTCATTGTGTGCGAGGCATGGCGTTAAGTGTTTTACACAGATCCTCTTATTTAATGCTGCTTAGACTAACTGCAGAGAAAATTTTACTCTTACTATACTCACATTTCACAAGTGAAGAAATTGAGGTTCAGAGAGGTTGAATAATTTGCTTAGGACAACAGAACCAGCAAGTAATGAAAAAATGATTCAAACACAATGAAGCCAATTGCTGAACTGAACTTTGCCTTTAACTACAGTACAGTACTATGTGGCCTCATCCTTTAATCACAACGAAGAAGAATCTTTGTTAAAAACTGCATAAAATAGTTATTTTGAAACTCATTTAGGAATTACTATGAGTATAAATTGTATATTGTGACTTATTAGTATAAAATTCCCTGAAATATGAAATCCTAACTTCTGAACATTTTGGAAAAATGTAGGCACTTTTATTTTCTTTTTTACTGCCACCCAACCACAAAGAGATGATGTTAATTAAACGACCCCTCGGGGAAGTTGTGGGTGATGTTAGAGATGTTTGCACAGACTTTCCTTCATTTGACCTCCGTAGCTATAGGTGGTGATGGTGGAGCTCTAATTGATGCCTCTTTGGTATAATGGAGGCCAGGATCATAAAACCCTATTGAATGAACCATGGAAAGATTCTAGGTGACTATGATTTTTTGGCTAATCTAGCTAGTGGCACAGTCAATTAAATAGAACACAGAACATTTAAAAAAGTTCCTTATAGAAGGTAATCTGGCAATGTGAATCAAAATATTAAAAAAGTATAATTTAACATAACAATTCACTTCTAGAAATATTTCCCAAGAAAACAGTTTTAGATTTATCAACTTGTATATGTATCAAAGCAACATTTATAATAAAGAAAAAATTAAACCACCTGTAACTTCAAATTGAGGAAATAAAATGTAGAGGAATAAAATGGCTAAATAAGTAATTAGTAGAATATTTAATGATGTAAAAAAGTGTATAATGCATTGTTAAGTTTAAAAAAGGTTAAGTTTGCAAAACTATTTTCAGTAGGATCCCAATTTCGTAAAAAATATATATATGCAGAGGTTTCGAAAGGTTCATGGAAAAATAGAATTAAAAGATAAAAGTAAAAATTATAAACTGTATTTCTCAACATATGCACATTAAGTTCAAGATACTTTTATAAGTAACGATACCAGCCATTTAGAGCATCCCTAAAGAATTAAGTCCTAGGAATTTAACCATGTCAATGCAGTCTTTCTACATTAATTTTTTTTTTTTTTTTTGAGATGGAGTCTTGCTCTGTTGCCCAGGCTGGAGTGCAGTGGCCGGATCTCAGCTCACTGCAAGCTCTCTCCTGCCTCAGCCTCCCGAGTAGCTGGGACTACAGGCGCCCACCACCTCGCCCAGCTAGTTTTTTGTATTTTTTAGTAGAGACGGGGTTTCACCGTGTTAGCCAGGAAGGTCTCTATCTCCTGACCTCGTGATCCACCCATCTCGGCCTCCCAAAGTGCTGGGATTACAGGCTTGAGCCACCATGCCCGGCCTCTTTTTACATTATTAACTGAAGGAAAATGCATGCCATTTGAGACTTTTTAGGATTATGAAACAGAAAGATGTTAGAAAGAGTGAAATCAAGATTATAAGATGAATGCCTAGTGATTTCCCATCAAAACTCTTCCAGAATTACCCTGTTTGATGAGAAGGATGAGCAGGAATATTGTCATGGTGGAGAAGAACTCTCTGGTGAAGATTTCTTGGCTGTTTCTCTGCTAAAGCTTTGGCTAACTTTCTATAACATTCTTATACTAAGCAGATATTATCATTCATTGGCCCTCCAGAAAGTCACCAAGCAAAATACCTTAAGCAATCTTAAAAATTGTTGCCATAACCTTTACTTTTGGCTTGTCTATTTCTGCTTTGGCTGGATCACTTCTACCTCTTTGTAGCCATTGCTTAGATTATGCTTTGTCTTCGGGATTGTACTGGTAAAGCCCATGTTTCATCTCCCATTACAGTTCTTTCATGTAATTCTTCAGGGTCTTGATCCCACTTATTTAAAATTTCCTTTGAAAGCTCTGCTATTGTCTGCAGCTGATCTGGGTGCAATAGTTTTGGCACCAATCGAGTAGAAACTTTGCTCAACTTTAATTTTTTAGTCAGAATTATATAAACTGGACCAGTTGAAATGTTTATAGCATTGGCTATTGTTTCTGCTTTTCATCATCAGTCCTCTTAAATTAAAACACAAACAAGAGCCTGGGCAACATAGGGAGACATAATCTCTACTTAAACAAACAAACAAACAAACAAACAAAAATCAGCCAGGAGTCCCAGCTACTCAGAAGGCTGAGGTGGGAGGATTGCTTGAGCCTGGGAGACTGAGGATGCAGTGAGTAGGATAACACCATTGCACTTTAGCCTGGGTGACAGAGTGAGAACTTGTCTCAAAAAAAAAGAAAAAAAAAAAAGACATGAACAAGATTAATTCTTTTCTCACAAATTGATGAGGATGGTCTGCGACTGTGGGCTTTATCTTCAACATGGTCTATCCCATTTTAAAATGAATTATCCATTTCTTTGGGGGCATTGTCCCCATAAAGTTTTTATAAAGCATCAGTGATTTCACTTATTTTCCACACAAACTTCACCATAAATTTGATGTCTGTTTTTGCTTTAAATTTAGCAGAATTTATGTTGCTTTGATAGGAACTCTATTCAAACTGATGTCTTATCCTTCTTAGTGCCTCAAACTAGCTCCTGTTCAGACATGTTATAACAAGTTGGTATAAGTTTATTTTGGTGCAAAAAAAATTCAAACTCCATGCATAGTTTTTTCATAATATGTGTTTCCATGAACCTTTAAACAAATAATTCAACTTTTGTTTTAGATTCAGGGCTACATTTCAGGTTTGTTATATTGGTATATTGTGTGATGTTGAGGTTTGGGATATGAATCGTTCCATCACCCAGATAGTGAGCATAGTACCCAATAGTTAACTTTTCAACCCTGGCTCTCTTCCCTCTCTCCCCACTCTAGTAGTCCACATTGTCTATTACTGCCATCTTTATGTCTATGAGAACCCAGTGTTTAGCTCTCACCTATAATTGAGAACATGTGGTGTTTGGCTTTCTGTTCTTGCATTAATTCACTGAGGATAATGGCCTCCAGATGCATTCATGTTGCTGTAAAGGACGATTTCATTCTTTTTAATGACTATATAGTGTTCCGTAGCATATATATACCACATTTTCTTTATCTAATCTACTGTTGATGGGAACCTAGGTCAATTCCACATCTTTGCATTGCACTCATTATTGTAAATAGTGCCGCAATGAATGTAGGAGTACATGTGTCTTTTTGGTTGAATGGTTTATTTTCTTTTGGATATATACCCTGTAATGGGATTTCTGAATAGGTAGTTCTGCTTTATTATTTTAACATCTAAAGGTAATCAATATAATACATTTTATTTAGAAGATTGCATTATAAAACAAATGTTTTACGAAGACTAACTGTAATTGATTCTTTTGTTATATATGCCTGAAGAATACACCAAAAAGTGAGTAGTTCTTTTTTAGGTGATAGGGTAATAGATGACTTTTGTTTTCTTTCTTTGTGCTTATTTTTATTTTTCTTTTTTTAACATGTAAGTAATGTATATTATTTATAAATTAGAGAAAATCTCACAAGCTATTATATTTTTAAGAATTTTACACGTTATTTTAAAAACTAGGTTCAATGCTTATGTTTATTTAGAAAATCTGATTATTGCCATCTGTTTTCACATATCTTCAGTGTTGTTAACAATTCATGGTGTATGTTTCTGTGTCAGGGGCTGGAGGAAGCTGAAAAGATGCAGTTTTATCTTCAAAGGAAAGGTAAGATGATTTTTAAAAAAATCTTGGTTACTGTCTTATGTAACTTGAGGGTGATCAGTGAGGCTTTGGCCTAGTGTTTCTCAAAAGAGTTCCGACTTTGTGTTTCTAATAAAGGGCATTGAGTTTTGTGGGTCAACATATTTGAAGGCACTGTCTTTACCATCTTCATTGTTGAAAACTGCTGGTCATGTCTCGTTCATATTTAGTCTGATTTCTTGTTAACCATGAAAGCAAAGTGGTATATGGGATATTGCAGAATATGCTGCTGCTTTTAATTCTACATCTTTACTATTTTGATTGATTCTTTTAGATTTGTTTATCTTTTTTTTTTTAAATGTGAGGTTGCATAGTCCAAGGATTCTGGTTTATTTTATGAATGTTAAACATTATTGAAATCACATAATTCTAATTAGACAACGAATGTCCAATTAAACAATTTCTACACTATATATAGTCTCAAACTTTCCTTTTGGGAATTTTACTTGGCATTTTCTTCATAAATATATTAATCGTCCTTTTAAATAGCTTTCAAGTTTTGTGATATGAAGGCTCCACCATCAAATTATTCTTTAATATTGGAATTATATCAATCAATACATGTCTTTAAAGTGCTGAATTTTATGGAGCATCCATATATCAAATCTCAGGGCTGTAGATGGACATCCTTTCATTGATCACAGCTTGAACCTGGGCAGAGGATGATGGACAGAAACATGACTTAAGAAGTGATAAATCTGTTGTAGCAGACTTATGATCTTTTGGCCTCAACCTTACAAATGCTATTGGTCACAATTGTGGCTAAATTGATTAGTTATTGTCCTCAGGTTTACAACTCTGACTCTAAACTCATATTAAGCTGAAAAATTTAAATATCTTGTTTCCAGGAGTCTTCATTTTTGGTATCAGTAAATAATCCACATTTATTTCCTTTTTGAGTGCTTTCTCTGTACTTCCTTCCTAAATGAGGGCACTGGACTGACTTTCTTCTGAATAGGTATAGAATTTTGGCCCTTAGTATTTTTGTCAACACTGCTCTAATTAAGAATAACAACAGGTGATGTGAATGTTGGCTGGAAATCAAGATTCAGAAGAGTTTTCCTGCAAAGAAAAATCTGAAGTTCAAGATGCAATGCATTGTGAAACCAGTGTTGAACCTGGTTAAATCAAATTACATTGCGCTCATGGCCGTAGTGTATAATATAGTACTGCTCACACTGGCCTTATTTTCCATTTTCTTCCATTGAAATACCATCCCAAACTGAAAATATCACAAAGAACTACATTCAAGATACCTATTTGGATGGAAAATGGCACCTTTAGCTGCATCTTTTTGTAGTGACTTATAGGGTTCAGTGACTGAAATGTATTTTTTTTCTTCTTTCTTTTTCTGCTTTGTTGTATTCATGCTTGGAAGCACTGCCTGCAAATGACAAAACCATAGGAGAATAACCTATATTATATAGGCTTCCCTATGTCATTGAGAACAAGAGAGGATGTTATTAAGAAAGTGTTGATTTTTGTAGTAATTCACCCAAGTTTAAGTTCTATTGATAGGTACTGTAGTGTTTAGGAAAAAAAAGAGAGAGGAAGAGACAAGATGCTTACATAAAACACAATTTTGAGTTTTATTTTACATTGTATAAAGTAGAAGAATAAGGGCCCAGGGATTTCAATTCCAGAAATGTAAAAATCAAAAAGGTAAAGTAATGAAGGTGACTCTATTTTAATCACAAATGGAGGTGATACATAAGTTACAATCAAAATTTTAAAATGAATTCATTTTAATATGCCTAAACTTTATTTGACAAGCTATTTAACATAGACTATGAGCCAGGCGCTAATTAAGCACTTTGGCATTTTATGAATATTCGCTTACTTAAACCTCATAATAACACTATAGATACTGATACTATCATCAGCAACCCCATTTTACAGATGGGTAGTTGCTTGTGTTGAAAAAATAGCTAGTAGTTAGCAGAGCTGGAATTCAAGCCCAGTGGGTGACTCATGTCCACCAGCAATCCCTTTGCCTCTCTAGTACTGGTGGTGGTTGTCAGAGCCCCTGGTTGGAGTGGGAGGAGCCTAGAGGTGCTGCTCACTAGACTTGGCTCAGAGGCTGCAAAAATAGGGTAACTGCACTCCCAAACCTAATGGCCACTGTGGTCAGCAGCTCTTCTAAGAAGAAGACCCTTTTGAGTTAATTCAATAAAATAACTCTTTATGTCTTGGGAGCAGGGTGGGGAGAATTTCTTGTAAAATGGATGGAGGAGTGGAAGTTAAAGAAGTGAACAAAACGTGTGGTAATCTTTCATATGTGGTATGTTTTCTCTTTTCCTGACCCCAATTTCCTTTGAAGGCACAAAATGCTTCATTGAAAAGGGATTGAAGCTGTATTTACAAGTTACAGAAGAGGCTCTGTCAGTCACTCAGTCACCTCCTAGAAATATACCTATCTCACTCTGACCCATCCTTCTTCTCCTACCTACCCATCAGTTCACCTCTCCCACTGATCTTTTTGTCTTCCTTCTGCAAACCTATTTATGCATTAGTTCCCACCCAGATCCCATCCTCTGGCACACCCCTTACTTAGCTAGCCATTTCTGAATGTGATTCTGAGGGATTTCATGGAAACTTTTACAATTGGATAGCTTTTGGGTTCCTAGTTTGCCCAAAGGCAGCCAGTAAACAGATTCTTTTAAGGTAAGGATTAATAGAATGTGAAAGAATGTTTTTAAGCCCTTAAACTGCTGTTTCAATGTCTCAAAAGCTGAGTATCAAAGATTGAGTATCAAAGTTACACTTCAAGTTAGTAACAACCAAATACTGCTTTTTCATTCTGTTGTCTTTTGGTAAAAATTACATTTTTTGAAAGTAAATTTTTATAATAATCATTAAGATGTTTAGAAACCAAGTTCTTCAGGATAAAGAAGTTTATATTATGTTGGAAAAGTTCTGGCTTCAGAGATGTTTCTAAATTGAGGCCAGGACACAAAAATATTATTAAATAACAATTTCTAAGCATTATAATTTTTAAGTTTTTCATTTTGTACATTCAAAAATCACTTTGTTATGTATTAAAGAGTCAATAGTAATGCACTTAGTTAATGCTTTTTTTTTGTTGCTGTTTTTCTGAATTATCAGTATGTGGTAAATAAAACTCAAAGCACTATTTCTTTTTCCCTTGGCTTAAAAATTTGGCCTTAGGTGAAATGGACACTGCTGTGCTGACCCTGGGCTTTTTAAAGCTCTGTTGTAAAAGCTATAAATGGTTTCTTAACATGCCCCTCACATCTCAAATATCTCTGTCCACAAGGACTACCGAATAACAAACTGTGCATCTGAGGCTTTGACACACACAGTGAAAATAGAAAGGGGAGAGGGAAATTCACGTCTTCATTAGGCTGGCTTAAGTAACAGAGAGGGAGAGGCAAAGGGGTAAATGGCCTTATTCATGCTTGATATTCTATTAAAGAATCGGGGTGCTTCTTTTTGTGATCCCATGCAAGGATTCAGTTGCATAAGCTGGTGAATGAAAACATATCCCAATACAAAGCATTTTCTTAAAAAAGGATTCTATTCTTGAATGTATTATTTGTCTTAGTTCTTACTTCAGACGACTCCTTGCTTATGAGTATTTCCTTTGCATACTGTAAAGGGAAAAAAAAGATAACTTCCCTCTCATGAGAGATTATTAAAGGGCAAAGGTAAGGGAAAAAGTGGAAACCAGGAAAGGATGAGGAACAAATGGATAGAGTAAAGCAATTAGCATAATGTATTCATCCTGCAAAATGTTTTGCCTCAGGTCCCAGTGGAATCAGTTGTAGAGATATAGATTCCAGTCTGTGTGTAGAAAAGATGCATAAAGTGACTTGTCTGAACGCTTGCTTATGACTGAATTCAAGGCCTTTTGTGTCTGGTTCCAATTCTACATGTAAAATATAAGGGTACTCTTTATTGAAATCCTGCTTCAGTGTATCCCAGTGGCTTAGTGGGCTGCAGGGGAGAACAGAATGCCAAAAGACTGTAGCTTTAAAAATATATCTTGGTACAAGATACTCTTGACACACCTGTCTTGATCCTACAGACTCTATTAATGAGAATCTTAGCAAAACTGATTAGGTTACTTGTGTAAGGTCTGGGGCTATAACCCTGAGCTCGTGTGGAGCTGAAAACTTTTAATCCCTAGTTTCTAAATGTTCCCTTTAGCATCAACAGCTGCAATACAAACAAATCAGCTAATATGTTGTATATCCAGAAAAAAATAAGTCTCTGTAAAATATGATTCTGTAGAATGTTGCTTATTTATACCTTTGACATCTTCCTCTCCCTCAAATCCTGATTGTGGTTAGATGAGACCAATCCAGTTAGGGCATAATGGTTTATTTCTTCTGAATTTTAATGAAAACATGAAAGGATATGTTGAGAGTTATAAAGACAATAACATGAGAAAGTATACATTTTATCAGGTATATGTATGTCTATATACAAATTGTAACCTCCACAAGAAGAGTTATCATGGTGTATTGTTTATTGTTGAATCCTTAATTCTTAGCACGGTACTTGACACAGGGTCACAGTATATGTTTGTTAAATAAATGAATGAAAAAGTGAAGTCTGATAATTTCTGTGAGTCCTAATGATGACTTTTATTTAGTACCACTAAGAGAATAGTTTTGAGAAGTTTATTCCATTAGAATCTCCCTCCTGTCTCCCTCCCCACTCCCTCCCCTTCCCTCTCCCCCTCTCCCTTCCCTTCGGCTTCCCCTCCCCAACCCCTCCCCTTCCCTCCCCCACCTTCCCTCCGCTTCCCCTCCCCTCCCCTTCCCTTTTCTCCCTTTACCTTCCTTTCCCTCTTCAATTCTCCCTTCTTTCCTCTCTCCAAATGACCTCTTTTCTTACCATTTTACCTTATTCTGTTCATTCCAGGGACACATTTCTACATTTCTCATGTCATCTGTTCTGGATTGTCAGCTTTTTGTTTTAGAACCCTAATAAGAATC